CCTGGGAAAGCAGAGCTCTCCTTGCACTGGAGCGTGCTCAGAAAAGCCATTATTGGCCAAGTGAGCTGTGGTGGTGTGAGCAAAGCCACTCTCTAAAAGTAGAACCAGCCACAATTGTTTTTTTGTATTAAGCCTTGTAGTTCCTTCTTTGTGTGGGGAACCATCCAGCACTGATGGTGCCATACTGTGCTTGTTACCACTGTGCAGAATTTCAGGGTGTAGGAGAAGTTAAGCAACCTCACGGGCCTCCTTTAAAAAAAGAACCCTTCTGGACCTTGTGGATCACAGGCTTTATCCTCAGAATGGGTGTTGCATCCCCAGGGCAGGAAAACAACATGGAATTAGAACAATTTCCGCACCTTTTCAGCAACCAGTGCAGGGGGATACTCTTCTTAAAATGGAAATGCTGAAGGTATCCAAGCTCCTCGTTTAAGACATCTCTACTGTGAAGTAAAGGAAACAATTTTCACAGAAGGGAAATCACAAGAGGGGAAACAAAGGGAAATCAGAGCACGCTGCAGGTTTACAAACCAGGAGAAAGGTGAGCGGGAGTTGACGTCGAGGTTGCTGGTGAGATGGTCGTGGCAGGTTGTCTGTCCTGATTCCCTTTCAGAGACCTGAAGGCTGCTCAGGCTGAGCAGCCTCTGTTGCCAGGGAAAGCCTGACCCAGACTGGTGTTGAAAAGGCCTCAGGCTTGCGAAAGGGATGTGCTGGATTGGCTGGTGACTCAGAGCTGCCTTGGTGCTGCTTTGTCTGAGACTGGTGTTGAGAAAGCCCAGATAGTGGTGGTTGCTCCACCTTTAGCTTCTGACTGGTTGAGAGGGTATTGTGCAGTGTAGTACAGCCTTTTAATGGTATCTAAAAAAGTAGAGGGTCAAAGGCAAGGCTTAAAATGTCAAGGAGTGTGGTTTTTTTGTAAAAAAGAAAAACATAAACAGTTGTGTTTCTTTAGAACTTCTAAATGAAGTAACTTGGATGAATACAAAATTGGAAGCGAGGACCGCACTGTGATGAAATAGCTTCTTGTAGGAAATGAATCCTTATTGGAAACAGTGGCTGTGTGAACCGTCAGTGCTGCCCTGTAACACCTTAGTTAGATAGTGAATGAACTGGGGTGAATTCAGGTGCAGCTGGGAGGTGGTGAGGCAAGCACAAGCTGTGGTAGAGGGTGGATGTTGGACACGAGGCTTTCTGCTGCTCTGTGCGTCATGGCATGACATTTTGGAGGAAGAAGGGTTCTTTCCAAACACTGGCAACAGGCAAGTCCTTTTAGGAGTCCCCAGTGACCTGAAGTAACTCGTGGATGTAGGGGAGGAGTGAAGAAGCTGCTGCCTGGAGTAAATGACTGTTTGGTGGTAGGTGGTGATGAACTGGCAGGTGTTTATCGAGGTGGCAAGGCATTCTCCGTGTCAGGATGGGGTATGATCCAAATCAAACCATAGCTGAAGTTGAGAGGACTCCACTGGGTCAGTGCACTCCGAGCTCCGTGTTGGAGCTGGCCCGGGCTGTGTGTGCTCACAGTCCTGCTCCGTGGTGTCCCAGCTGGAACACCCCTCACACAGGGACTTGCCAGGAGGTTCTGCCAGGTCAAGGACCAGGAATTGCTCTCATCATATGGACCTGTGACGTGCAGTCATTTCTCCTAGTGGTTCGTTGACCCCATCTCAGTTACATGACCAGGCTTGCCCATGGGATGCTCCCTGAAAAAAGGAGCAGAATTGGACCTCTTGTTGGATACCAGGTGAAGCTCAGGACTTCTGGACTAGAAATCTGCTCCCAGGGAGTCATTTGTGTTCGTCTGGGTAAAGAGTGCATTTCTTCTCTTCAGTGTTTTACTGTACTGGGGAGTGATCTTTTTAACAAATAAATATTTTTATCTTTAAAAAAAACACAATTTCTGACTCAGAATTAGGTGCTTAGTTTCGAATAAGTCTAATAAATGATAGGCACTTTTAAGGAAAGGGTTGGAAATCTGTAAGGAGCTGAATGGAAACAGCATGAATCTGACTATTGGTAATTATCCTGGGTGTTTATAATCTGCCCAGAACTAGTGGGGCAGGGTAATAAACAGCTGTTGCATTTTTATTTTCTGTTAGTGAGCAAAATAAATACATCATAGTTAATTTCCAGTTCTGAACTGAACATGAAACAAAGGCCAGTTATCCCAGCCATATTAAAAAAGTTCTCTAAGCTGGGATATCCAAAACTGTTAAATGGAGTATAAATGCTCTAAAGAGCATTTTCTGTGCACTTCATTGTGTCTGACAGAGCAGTTTGTATTGTAAGTCCATATAGGCTTTCTCTAAAATGGGATCCAAAGAAAACACAGCACAGCCAGATGGAAATTGGAGTTGACTTTGAGCTCTGATTAATTTGTTTTTCATATAATCCTTTTCAGGGCAGCGAGAAAAACGTGAGAAAAAGATGATGTACTGTGGTATAATTAACTCTGGCAAACAATGTGAACTTGAAAGAGATTTCTTTTAACAAAAAAAGAATCTGCTTTAATGGGAATTGTTTTTCCCAAATGTCGAGATGGACAGAGATGCTTTATCCTGCTCCGCGTTTGGGTCTCTGCAGTTCTCATTATATACGTGGAGTCCTGCAAAACATAACTCACTTCATGAACTAATGAACTAATAAGTTCTTAAAACATCAGCAGCTGCTCATCTGTGATCAATTCCCAGTATTGGACCCCACTGGACTTCATCCTTCTCCGTGTTAAGGGGATGAGGTTTCATGGCTGAGGCGAGCGAGTGCAAACTTCTGCCATAAAGCTCCAGAAATGTCCCTGATTTATAAAAAGCATTAAATATCTAAAATTAAGTAACTTTCAAGCTGAAACAATCATAAAGCTTAAAAGCAGTATGACTTTGAAAGCCCAGCCTCAAACAGAGACGTGAACAGATATATAATGCTTTAGTTAACGTTGCTGCCATTTCTCTTACAAATTGTTCTTTAGGGTATTGTAACTCAGCTGTTTTTAAACCCATCACTCTGGAACCTTGCCTGCAAAATGTCAGCACAAGTGCAAATTTTATTTCTTTAACAAAATAAAGGGCTTGGAGCAGTTAGGCTTTCTAAACTTTTATGGCAGGAAAATAAATGTCTCTCCTTTTGCTTTGCCGTAGCGGGAGCTGTGACGTTCACCTTGTCCTGCCAGCAGGTAGAGACAGAAACCAAAATGGTTTAATGGGGAAAAAAAACTCTCTGTGTGTTCCAACTTGCCTTTTGAAAACAGGAGAAGCCCAGTGTTGGAATGTCAGCACCCCCATGTTGAGGCTGGGCTGTGCTTTGGGCTGAGGGCACTGTCCCTGGAGGGGCTGTGGAGGAGAGATGGTGGCTTTGGAAGACAATTTCAGAAGTTGGAAGCAAGATGTGGGGACCAACCAGCTCATTAAAGGAATTAAATCTGGGATGAGGTTGTCTTTCCTACAGGTTCAGGAGAGAGAGGCGTCACTTCTGCACTAACGGGTGCGTCTCTTACCAGATCTCCTATCTTGGAGCTCTTTAAATTCCCCCTCTTCCATCTGGCTTCGAGAGCTGGGCAACACCAACCCATCCGCTCTTCTTGTGCTTCCCTGAAGTTGTTCAAGCCTTGACACACGCATATTCCAGGCAGTAGCATGCCATTTTTTTTTGTAGTCAGTATGTACTCTGATGGGGATTTCCTGTCTCACTGGTCAGGATGACCAAGTGTTACTGCTGGTACATTAGTTTTGTTGTTTATTCTTTCTTTTTGAAGGTCTAGGGAATGAACTTCCTTGCACATAGTTGCTTCAGTGCAGCAAGTCACATTTAATAGCCTCTGCTTTCAGCTTGAATCTTTACAGAAGGAAGATTAAGTAATAGTTTGTGTAGAAACATCTGTTTCCTAACAGAGATCTCGCCCTATTTTATTTTTTTTATGTTGTCCCACTAACCAGAAAGTCCTTTAGTCTTTTAAAGACTTAGAAGTCTTTAAGTCCTTGTTGGGTATTAGAGTTGCTGTGGTTTTAGCTTGCTCATGTTCTGGATCCTTTGTTAGCTTAAGTTATTAGCCTTAGATAAGTGTTGTGGGATGGAAGGGCTGCTTTCTATTGTCAGCGCAATTTCTGAATCTCTGGACAATTTGTCTGGGTTAGAATTTAAGTTTTTTGGCTCCAGTGCTTGTTTAGACCTTTGCCTTGTCTGAGGAAAAGATGTTGTTAAAATAATTAAGCCTAGGGTGCATTAAAAGAGAACCTTTCCACAAAATTGAATTGCTTGGGGTTTATTTGAGTTTTGGGTTGCTTAAATAAATTGGCTTTTTTGCTTTGTTTGCTTACAAGCAACTTAGTATCTATTATGGGGAGTCTTTTTTTTCCATGTTTTCCGTAGAAGGCTGGCTCTGAGGGTTTTGAAGAACAACAGCTCTCTACGCTCTGTAGCTCTTTGTTTCACATCAAAGTGCCGTTTATTTGTCTTAATTATTGCATTATTGGTACACAATTATTGCAGCCCCTTTAGCATTGTTATACATGTCTAATATGGAAAGACCTAATCTATGGATTTATTAGGGAATAATCCTTTGGGTCATTGTTTTCTTGAGAGTTCACTGAGTTCACTCCGCTGTTTTCAAGGGGAAATTCCTCACTGTGATATTGTGTGTTCTTGTAAATAAATTTATCCTGTGTTTCTTAGAACTCGAGGCCTTTTCATGTGTTGGTGCCAAAATTAGTGAAACTTGGTTTACTGGAACACGCAAACAGGAATTCAGTGCGTTGCTACAATCCAAGCACTTTGTTTTCTTCCCAGTCCCAGTGCAGGAAGTGCTGACCAGCTTTCCATGGAGTTAGTATTGTTGCAGGACTAGTATTCCAGGAATTAGGGGCTCGTGATCCTGGGAAGAAAGAGTGATTTGAGGCCCGTGTTGTAACTTTCTGGGGAGCGTCCCCTTTGTGTCTTAGGAGGGGTGGGGAGTAAATCAGCAGCGTAATGAGCAGGGAACCACTTTCTGTACCACCTGTTTGGTTGCAGGGATGTGGCTGCAGCCCCGCTCTGCTCACATGAACCACGGTCTGATTTGAAGCAGCGTGTGCAGGTTCATCTGTGCGCTCCTCAGTGCAGCCCTTGTCATCAGCAGCAATAAACCAGCACTTCTCTGTGTGCTGCAGAGCACAGAGGGAGCTGCCATCCCTGTGCTGCTCCTGGCAGTGATAGGTTCGGTGCAGATGTAAATCAAGCACTCAGTTTCTATTTTAACACTGCAACCTAATTAAGAAGTTAAAATTTTTCTGGCCGCCGGAACATCATCCTGCTTGTGTTCCAGTTTCAGAAAGGCTTGGAAGCGCTTTATTTACCGACTTCTCTTTCTCCTCTTGCCTTCCCAGTTTGCGGGCCAAACGTCGACATTCGCAACGACATCCACGAGCTCAAGCGCCTGGAGAACTGCACGGTGATCGAGGGGTTCCTGCAGATCCTGCTCATCTCCAAAGCAGAGGATTACCGCAACTTCCGCTTCCCAAAGCTCACCGTCATCACCGACTACCTGCTGCTGTTCCGTGTGGCGGGCCTGGAGAGCCTCAGCGATCTCTTCCCCAACCTCACCGTCATCCGGGGCAGGAACCTCTTCTACAACTACGCCTTGGTGATCTTCGAGATGACGAACCTCAAAGAGATCGGGCTCCACAACCTGAGGAACATCACCCGCGGCGCCATTCGCATCGAGAAGAACTCCGACCTGTGTTACCTCTCCACGGTGGACTGGTCTCTCATCCTAGATGCAGTGTCCAACAACTACATCGTTGGGAATAAACCTCCGAAGGAATGCGGGGACTTGTGCCCGGGAACGATGGAAGAGAAGCCGCTGTGCGAGAAGACATCCATTAACAATGAGTACAACTACCGCTGCTGGACCACCAACCACTGCCAGAAAAGTAAGATCTCAGTAGCTACTGTGTTTTTGTTACCTCTCCTTGAAGTGAAGGTTTAGTTTTGTGGGTTTATTTTAAGCTCTTTAGCAACTGAAACTTTTGCTCTAGTTGTGTTTAGTTAACGCGAGGTACCCAGTTACCACACAAATAGATTCCTCCCCAGCCTGTTAAGGCTCATCTAACTTGATTTAAAAAGCAAAACCCAACAACAAATCAACAGCTGTAAAACCAAAACCCAACAAAAACTCCCTGCTTTCCCCATGGAAAAGATATAAAGTACAAGTATAGAACTAAAGCCATTCTAGCAAAGCTGGAGCCAGTTTTAGCTCCCCTGGGGACTCTGGCAGGGGGTGGCCGTCGAGTGCCATCTCCTCCTTGCTGAGGGGACGTTCCGTGTGTGCCAGAGCCACTGCTGTAATGAAGCTGCTGACGGAATTACTCTGACTGCTCTTTGCTTCCCTTGGATGCACCTTCTGAAATCCCCGCAGTGGTAAATTCTGTACATAGGATCTTGTTTACAGACGTCAGTTTGTGGAGCACAGTCTGCAGAGTCAAAGAGTCAGTGGACATCGTGGCTCCTGGTGAAGTCACCCCTGCCTGTTTTGTGCTTGTCTTCGTGATGGCGAAGTATTAGCAAAAACAAAACCTGATCTCTTCTCGCTTTTTAAAAATAGAGTAAACAAGCACATAGTTTACTCAGATAACACGGTTCCATGGCAGGCTTTTTGAGTTCATCCTGCAGCTTTAGGAAAGCTGAGCCCTGCAGTAGCAGTAGGGCTTAATTACAGGCAGTCGTCACCGTGCCTCAATTCCACGTGGCACCTTGGCCAGAGCTGCCATAATGACAGGAAGCACCACAGTGGGAGAGAAGACGGGACCGGTATCCTTTGGGTTGCCTTCAGTTGGGGATGTTGTTTTCTCTAAAGTGGCTCATCAGTTGCTTGGGAAGCCCTCCTCCTGTTCAATTAGAGCTGCAATTAGAGCAGCTCGCAGGGCAGTTTCAGTCAACACATGCCAAAAATACCTCTGGAAAAAGGCATTTGGAGTATGTGCTTTTATCAATACTTACAGAAAATAAAGTTTGTTTTTTAAACACAGGAAAGAACCCCCCCCTCAGCCTGTTACTGGGAGACTTTGTGCTTTGGCCAGGGTGAGGGGAGTGTTGTTGTGCAATGTTAGGCTTCCTCAGGCCAAGTTTGTGTCTTCATTAACAGACTGACTGTCGTCTACAGAGGGTGACCAAGGTGATTCCTGTGCAACCTCCCTGCCTTCAGTGGTTTGAATGGATGTAACCAGAGGGTATTTAATGAGATACAGGGACTTACTTGCTTTCTGTTGTGTGCTCTGGCTGTTTGAAGTACACAGAAGTAATTGCAAAAAAACCCTCTTTGGCTTCTAGGGGAATGTTAAAATAATTTGGATCCCAAATGCACACCTGAGAAGAAATCTGTTTAGATAAAATGAGGTCACAGTTAGACTGTGATAGCAAGACTTTGAAGGCAAACGTGTAGATAACGTTTGGTTTCCCTCTATGCTTTCATCTCCTTTCATGGGAGATTGTGAAGAAGAAAGCAAGTATTGGAAAAGAGCCTTGGAAGGCCTGTTAAGAGCTTTAAAAAACCAGTTAGATTTAGAGTATCTTAGGATGCAGAGCATATAGAGAAATGATCAAGTTCTAATCAATAAAAAGAGTGAGAAAATTTGGAGCTGTTTTAATTTGTTTGTTGTCATAAGCCACTGACTTGGAGGAAGAGAACTTTAAATTTGCCAGCCATTCATCTAAAAAAGAAAACAACCCCAAAGTACTCCTGTTCCGAAGGAAAACAAGGGAGGTACAAATGTGCAGTTGCTCCAAAGGAAGCTTTTTGTCTCCCCTGTTTGATTGCCTGGGTGCTTTGGCCGTGAACTCCTGATCCAGAGAGGACTCTCGCGGTGCAAAATCACCCAAGACACGAAAAAGAATGGAAGCAAGGACTTGTCACTTACTGAGCGTTTCAGTCTGCGTTTTCCTACCAGTAGAGAGATGACACCTCTGTTATTTTCCAGGGAATATTTTTCTAGCGTAGTGTCTAATTTAACCCTGACATTCTCCTTGTGCGTCACAGTCATGTTCAGCTGAAAATGTTGTCTGTCACTCAGGGTTCCTCCATGCCTTTTTATTTTCCTTTGCACTGGCTCTGTGGAGGAGTGTGTATTAAATCTCTCTTGTCCTTGTTTAGGTTTGATGCTGAAAGATCCTGAAGCTGGTGGGTAAATGTTGTGTGGGAACACTCGGTACTTTAAGTAGCCCGGCTTCTGTTTAATTTTGCCGTGGAGTGGAAGTTGTTTTTTTTTTCCCTTCTTTCTCTCGCTCACAAACAAAGGAAGAAGCTCGTGCTTCCTTCCATATAACTTGTGCAGGAACAATGCTGAGGGAGGAGGGAGGGAAGGATGTGCTGTGTGTTTGGCTTAGAATAATCCATGGGCGTTCGTGTAGAAGAGCGAGCGACAAAGGAACTGCAACTTGAATTTGTTTTTTATGTTTAAGGTTGAGCACAAAGCGTCAGCGGCTTTGCTGCCAGTTTGGTTGCCCTGGTTTCTGTGTAGTGTACATTCCTTTACCTCGGAGTGCCCCAAGGCAGCAGCAATACTAGTTTGCTCTCTTTGGAGCTGCAGCACTGTTGTGTTGGGCTTGGCACGCTCTCATCTCTCTGACTTGCACCTACTTTTATTTTGGTGTATCAAATACCAGCTGTACCTCCCTGGAGCTGCTGGTCCACGTTAGAAGAACCCTTCAGGATAAAAGGAGAGGACTGAAGTTGTTTGTTTGCAGCGCCAGTTGTGCTTTGGGGCACAGGTGGAGGCGGAAAAGACGGAAACTGAGCATCCAGACATACAAATAAGATTATGGCCTTCTGTGTTTTTCTGTTTTTCTGGCAGTTGTGACTGCTGGAAAGGGTTCTGGAAGCTGCCTGCCCCTTGCTAAGGGATTGGTGTGAGAGCCAGAAAAACTGTACCCCTTGCAAGCCTTGTGTCTGATGACACATTTGCTTTGCCTGTCCAGTGGTCTGCTGCAAAGAAAACTTGGGTTGTTTTCTGTATTCCTCTTGCTGATGACTAAGTTTTGAGGTCTGTTCCCTTGGTCACTGGGCCTTTCCAAGCCTGCAGACACCAACTGTAAATTACACCCCTGAAAGCCTGCCTGGAAGTTCAAGATCTCTTGTCCACCATAACCCTTGTGCTGTTTTTCAAGCAAGTCCAGCTAACGCTTCCTAAAACACTTTTGGGATTGCTGGGGCCGTAAGAAATGATCTGGGTAAACTTAATTGGGAAAGTAATAGCACAAGTGGCAGTTAGCTGTAGAGGTGATATATGGTGTATGGGTGGGATTTTTTTGTTGTGCTTTCTAAACTTCACCTTAACTGGGGGGATAATGGACAAATAATTAAGTTGGAGGAGCTCTCTGTCAAGCATTAGCTGAAACCCTTCCTTTCATACTCAAAGAAAGATGAGGGGTCTGGTTCTGGGGGGACACACTTAGTATCTGTGTGGAAGGGGGATACTGAGTTCAGCTGCTGCTTCTGTGTGAGGGAATGAGAGCACAGTGTGGATCCTCCTTTTGTGAGGGAGCAAATTACAGCAAATTATAGCTCCCTGTTCCCCAAAGAGGTGGAATAGCCATGTTTCCCGTGAAAGCAATGATGGTGAGTATCTGACGTGCATGAGGGAGCTTTAAGATTAGATTTGCCACTGGCATAAAAAAAAAAAAAGGAGGTGTAAATTGGCCTTGGAGAGAGAACATGGGTTAGGGCCATGAGCATCAAGCACTTGGTTCAGAACACACAAATCTGACGTGAGAAACAATAGCTGCCGTGGAGCCTGCCCACAGAACAACAGGAGAGAACTTCAGCTTCCCGGTGTGTGAAACTGAGGACCATGGAAAAGGCATGTGAGGATTTGGAGGCTGATGAAGAAGCAGATGGCAGCTGAGCACAAAGTGTTTTTAATGAAAATGTGTCCCTATTCCTTTCCGAATCGGTTTGACAATGGCCCGAAAAGATACCCGGTGTGTGAGGAGCGGGAGGGAGGGAATGACAGTGAGTGGGAAGAGTGGTCCATATGTGCCTTCTACTAAAATGTTTAAACATATGGAGACAGTAACATGATGTATTCTCACAAATATTCGGGCTCTGCTCCTGTTTGTTTACACGGAGCTCAGCGGATAATGCAGTTGAGTGGTATCGGTTGACATGGCTCCATTGACTTGTGCAGTGCTCACGGGGCGTGCCAGCTGGGAATCTGCTCCCTGTTCATTCAGCAGAGTAGTGGGGAAAACCATGTGCTGGACTTTTTTTTTTTCCTCCCCTGCTCTCCTTCTTGTTTTTCCCTCTCTGAGGAGTATTCACTGTATTCCCCTGTCCTTCAAAAGTACTGAACATACGTGAACGGGAGGAGAGGGGAAGAACTTGGGACCCAGAGATGATGAATCAGATTACTCTTATTTTGCTTTAAATTACATTTGCATGCCCCCTCCCTTTGCTGCTTCCTTTAAACTTTTTGTTTGTTTGTTTGTTTGTTTTCTTAAACCCCGAAATGTAGTAGATATCGTGTGTATCACAACGTGCTTTAAGTTCTCGTCTTTCATAAGCAGATTAGATGTGGTGTAATGTGGAGTTGGTCTACGTCACACCAACCCTACCTTTGTTGGTTTAAAAAAGATGAGTTGCATAAAAACCTGGTCACATTCTGAAACGGGCAGGTTGTTTATTGGTCGTGCTCAGTTGGTGTGCAAACTCCCCAGCGAATAAACATCTTCTGAAAGGAATAAACAGACCAAAAAAAAAAAAAAAAATTGTAAAAGGCACAGTTGGTGTCACTGAGTTAAAAAAAAATTTGTTAGTGTTTTCCTTCTGAATGGAGTTTTTTGCTGACTTTTGCTCCCCTCCTGAGAAGTCTGCTCTCCAGCCAGAGGTTTCCCAGAATTTTTATTATGGCTGTGAGAGCCTATTTAATTAGTAAGCTGG